CTACACCAGTACGCACATTAGGTGAAGGAGAAGAACTGGTTCAGTGTTACAGCAACAATTAGCATTCTGTGAAAAATGTTACCAAAACATTAAGCATAATCTTTTAGATGTTGTCCGATTTGATTTTCCAACATTTTCTGCTTTTATTCTGAGTGTTGGCGTTGCTTATGGAGCATTGCTAGATGGATTGATGAAGATAAAAGTGAAAGTGACACACTCAGAGATGAATTTAATCTATGTGGAAGTGCAAACAACTCTAGGAACATAGACAGATATGAATATGATGTTGTGACATTTCAACAGTAGGAATATTTTACTAACAATAAAATTAATTAGCTACAAAGCACTTTAGGATGACCCAAGATCATGAAAGATGCTATATAAATGCAAGGAGCTATACCTATTAGGAAAGATTGTAAAGGCTGGACTATTTTCTTTAGAAAAGACTGAAAGGTAGACCTGAAAGAGGTTGTTACAATTAAGAAAGGCTGTTGATAGTAAGAGATTCAGTGATTGTACTGCCATTAAATGTCAATGTGAAATGGTTAGATTCTCTCTTGTTAGAGATGATCATTGCCTGAAATCTGTGGGGCGCAAACGCTACTTGCCACTTTTCAGCCCAGACCTGGATACTGTCAAGGTCTTGCTGCATTTGGACATGACTGCTTCAGTAGGAGTAGGAGTGTAACATTGTGTGATCATCAGGCATCCACACTTTGACTTTATGATGGAAGGAAGATCATTGATGAAGCAGCTGAAGATGATTAGGCTAAGGACACTACCCTGAGGAACTCCGCAGAGATGTTATGGGGCTGAGATGTTTGACCTCCAACAACATCAAACATCTTCTTCTGGACCAAACATGATCCAACCATCAAAGAGTTGGGTTGAGATGGAGAAGGATGGAAGGAGACTTATGTGCAGGATAAACACTAGCATTGACCAATCTTGGCAGGTTTGGTAGCATCTGTGGACAAAAAGCAGAGATAATGTTTTGGGTCCAGTGACCCTTCTTCAGAATTTAGTTTCTGCTTTGTCTCCACAGATGCTGCCAGATCTGCTGCCAGATGTCCAGATAATTTTATGTAAGCCTTTTTTCTTCATAGATTTTGTTTTCTCAGATCTACCAACCCAATATTCTCCTCAAAGGTACATTAATCTAGGAGCAGCTAAGCCATACAGTTTAGAAATACTGTGCTCAGTTACTCTACTTCAGCTGGCCAGTGAGGAGGAGGGGACAGTTAGCTTCAGCAACCATAGGTGATCAACCAGGTTCCTCTTCCCAATGGCAAACTTGTGAGCTTTCATAGAATCATACAGTACAGAAGAGGCACATCGGCCTATTGACTATGTACTGCCTAAATTGTATGACTACCTACACTAGTCTCACTTTCCCGTAATAGGCCCATAGCGTTATGACACTCAGCGGAGTACTTTTTTCAAGGTTTGTTGGAGCAGATGGTCACTGTCAGCCATGGTTGAACAAAACACAATATATAAAAGCAGGAGATAGTAGGAAGATAATAGGGATTTTCTGAAGAAGGGTCTAGGCCCGAAACGTCAGCTTTCCTGCTCCTCTGATGCTGCTTGACCTGCTGTGTTCATCCAGCTCTACACCTTGTTATCTTATATAAAAGCAGGAGCCTGGCATTCGGCATGTTGACCTATTCTGCTATTCATTAAGACCATGGTTGTTCTTTTACCTCAACTCCCAACTTCCCACCCTATCCCCATATCCCTTAATCCCCAAATATCTATTGAATTCTGGTTTGAATATAATCGATGACTGAGCACCCACAAAGATTTACAATCCTGCAAATGAAGGAATTTCTCTTTATCAAAATCCTAAAGGGCCAATCCCTTAACCTGAGATTGCAAATCCATATTCTATGTTCGCCATCCAGGGAAAACTTTTCCTCAGCATCTCCTCTGTTAAACCTCTTATGGATCTCATATATTTCAATCATATCACCTCTCATTCTTATAATTTCAGGGAACATAGGATCTGTTAACTTTATATCTCCTCATCCCAGGGATCAGTCTGGTTGACACATCATCATGCTCTCTCTGGGGGAGGTATATTCTTTTTTAAAGTAAGGAGAAGAAAACAGGACAAAATATTCCAAGTGTGACTCCCTGTTGACCTTCAATGTCTGGACTCAAAGCTGAAGAGCAGGTTCTGGAGGGTAGTTTTGGAAGATGGTCAGATGAATGGCACCAAAGAACTATAGAATGATGCAGCACAGAATTAGGCTATTTAGTTGTTTGAAAGTACAAATTGATTAATCCCACTTCCCTACTTTTCCAAACCTCCCTGCTTTAGGAGAAGTTCCCATTGCATGGGAAAATAGTGATTGGAACTCCTTCAGTCAAAAACGAAGGAGAAAGAAAGCAGGAAACTACAGGCCACTTCATTTAACATTTATCACAGGGAAAGTGTTTTAAGATATTAAAGCTAATCAGGCAGGACCAATATGGTAAAAAAAGAAAGAACTGCGGATGCTGGCAATCAGAAACAAAATCAGAAATTGCTGGAAAGGCTCAGCAGGTCTGCAGTATCTGTGGAGAGAAATCAGAGTTAACGTTTTGGATCAGGTGACCCTTCTTCGGAACTGATGGTAGCTAGGAAAAAGTTGTATTTTTATGCAGAAGATAGGGTGTGGGAGGCAGTTAAGAAGTAAATGATAGGTTGAAATAGAGCCCAAAGAGTCAGAAGACCAGTTGGACAAACAAAGGATTGAATAACAGTCAGCCTAGGAGAGTGAGATAACAAGGTGTAGAGCTGGATGAACACAGCAGGCCAAGCAGCATCATAGGAGCAGGAAGGCTGACGTTTCGGGCCTAGACCCTTCAGCTGCTGGTGGCTAACAATAGGTTGTATGTTATAGCAGACCATGTGATAACAAGACCTGGTGTGTGGGGGTTGGGGTAAGGACAAGGCAGAAAGTGCCCCAAGCCCTAAAATTGTTGAACTTGATATTGAGTCCAAAAGGCTGTAGAGTTCCCAAGCAGAAAATGAGGTGCTGTTCTTCCAGCTTGCGCTGAACTTTGCAGGAGCACTGCAGCAAGCCTGAGACAGAGATGTTGGCCAGGGTACAGGGTGGCATGTTAAAGTGGCAAGGATTGACATCGTTTTGTGAAAGGGTAATCATAGTTAACCAATGCATGGGAGTTCTTTGAAGAAGTAACATGTGCTCTGGATAAAAGGGAACCAGTGGATGTACTCTACTTAGATTTCCAGAAAGCATTTGATAAGATGCCACATCAAAGATTATTGCAGAAAATGAACAAAAATGCATGTAATGGTGGATAATACACTGGCATTATTAGAAAATTGGTTACCTAATAGCAAACACTGAATGGGAATTAATGTGTCTTTTTTTCTGGTCAGCAAGATGTAATGTGTGGTATGTCACAGGGGTTAGTGCTAACGTCTGTACCTTTTACAATTTACAGAAATGACTTGGATGAAAGAACAGAGATGTGGTAACTGAACTTCCTGATGACAGAAAGATAGGTAGGAAAGTAAGTTGTGAAGAGGACATAAGGATGCTGCAAGGGCATATAGATAGTTTGAGTGAGTGGGCAAAAATATGGCAAATGCAGTATAATGTGGGAAAAGGTGAAATCGTCCATTTTTGCAGGAAGAATTTAAATAAAAGGTATTATTCAAATGACAAGAGATTGCACAGCACTGAGATGCAGAGGGATCTGGGTATTTTGGTGTATGAATTGAAAAATAATAGTGTGGAGGTACAGCAAACAATTAGGAAAACGAACAGAATGTAATCATTATTGCAAGGAGAATTGAATTAATAACTAAGGATTATATGCTTCATTTATGTAGGGTATTGGTGAAACCACATTTAGAATACAGTGTATACAGCACTGGTCTCCTTATTTAAGGAATAATATAATCAGTCAGTAGTTCAGAGAAGGTTTACTCTCTGTAAACCTAGAATGGGTAAGTTGTCCTACAGGGAAAGGTAGCCTTGTCTCTGCTGGAATTTAGATGAGCAAAAAGCAACTTGGTTGAAACATACAGAATTGTGAGAGTTTTGATAGAGTGGATGTGGAGAGGATGTTTTCTCTTGTGGGAGAATTTAGGACTGAGGGTCAATATTTTAAAATGAGGGAACACCTATTTAAGATAGTGATGTGCAGAATTCTTCATGAGTCTTTGGAACAATCTTTCTCAATTTGATGGGCACTGAGTCTTTGAATATTTTTAAGGCAGATGTGAATAGATTCTGATAAGCAAGGGGGAAGGTGAGAGTGAAAGTTTATGAGGGAGCTGGGCAGAAATGTAACCCATGATCAAATTGAGTGGTGGAGAATGCTTGAGAGACTGAATGGTCTACTCCAACCCATAATTCACACATTCTCTCCCAACAGGCTAGCAATGTTTTTCCTTTACTAGAATAATTGGGTCCCCTTTGAATTTCCTCTTCCAATGTATATTATTGAACATGCTTCCACCATCCTATCAGACAGTACTTAATAACCTGCTGCATGTTTTTTTCTCTCTCTGTCATCCCCACTGGTTCTTTTGCCAATCATTTCCAGTCTGTATCCCTTGGTTACTGACCTTCTTGCTAGGTGGAAACAATTTTTCTTCCCTTACTCTGCCAAGGATATTTGCTCGCCTGCTAGCTTCAGCAGTAGTATAGCGCTTTTACCCGAGCTGAGAGAGGGGGAAGGTCAGCCAGGGGTGATGTGTGTCAAATCACATCTCCCAGTCGATTACTGGACGGCCAGGTAAATTGCAAGCAAGTCTGCACTGTACAATTGACGCATTTTCCTGAGCTCCCCCAACCACTCTCGTCTTATGGAGGAGGAGCAGTCCCTCTGCATTACTGTGATTGACAAGCAGATCAACAAGGATCTGGGACAGGCTAATGGCTAGTCAAGGTGCCAATCTAGATAGGGGCGGCACCGGGAAAGAGCTGATTGGAGTCTTTCCCTTTTACAGCGATCAAGGACACACAGCGACGTCCTGCAAATAACCTGGAGATCCAATATTCAGCGCAGCGGGACACAGGGGATTGATACAGTATCCCCAACAATTTCTCCCTGGAGCAAGCATTGCAAACTGGAAGGACATAATGTAGAGTAGCAAACTGGAGGGGGAATTGGTCCCAAACTGGGGACACTTTGTAAATTTGTGTTGCAATATTTCAGCACATCTTAATGAGAACACCCGCATTTGTAATATCTTTGAAGAGCACCCGGAGTTCGTTTTTATGAATGAGGTAAGGGGGAAATTTTACGTTTTATTTTCGCCCCAGGTTGTCAGAAATGCAATCGGTTCCACGCGTTGCTCCAACTGCGATCTGTGTCCCGGGTGTTTGTGAATCGGCGATTGCTGCATTCATCTTTCTGATTGATCCAGTCATGCAAAACAAAAAAAAAATCAGTGCATTTGCTTGAATGCGAAAATAAAATGCATCTTGGAATTTGAGACCTGGAAATGTATCAAGATATTTCACTTCTGCATAAAATTCACAAAATTCACGGACAGTCTGCGTTTCCCTGCATCGTTCAATGCTGCCGCATTTTTCATTCATATCATAAACACGGTTTGTGCATTGTATAGTTTTAAAACATTTTTAGGCTTTAAATACATGTATATTTATAAAGCAACATCGATATCTTGGGCGGTAGGATTAAAACGCCATTGAGTAAATCTCCCGGGATTAGGAAAATACTTCCAATATGAAGATTGCAGGAAAAGGAATATTTGCCAATGAATCGAGCACATTTATAGTTGATCATGGCTTGATAGAATCACCAGATTAGATACCCCGAAGCTGGGCAACAAATGCATATGTTTTCCACGCGTTTTGCTGTATCTGACTTGGGTAAATGTATATGCAGGGGGGAATTTGACCTGCAGCCGTGTCTGTACTGAAACCGACCACTCACCGTTATAATCCATCTCTGCTGTTCCCCACTGCAGTTCGGATGTCAAGTTGGAAAATTAAAAAAAAAATCCAAAATGTGTTGTTATTCTGACTGTTTTATGAACCCCTTTATTTTGGTATAAATGAGACACAGTCAGTTCTAGTTCCAGTTCCCAATGACATGGAACCAGAATGGCACAAAACTGGCGCGAATCTGCCATGAAACTTGCAGTTTTCATCGGTGAGGCTACCAGAAGCGGCCGTGTGGCGAGTAGAACTGTCACGGTAGTGCAACAGGGGGCGCTCTCCACTGAGGGTGGGACTGAGCTGTACAATAGGACAGCGTAGGGAGAACTTTGTATCTAACCCCGTGCTGTCCCCGTCCTGGGAGTGTATGATGGGGACAGTGTAGAGAGAGCTTCACTCTGTATCTAACCCTGTGCTATCCCTGTCCCGTTAGTAAAAGGGAGTTTTTTTACTCTGTATCCAACCCCGTGCTGTCTCTGTCCTGGGACTGTTTGATGGGGGACACTGTAGAAGGAGCATTACTCTGTATCTAACCCTGTGCTATCCCTGTCCAGGGACTGTTTGATGGGGAACGCTGTAGAAGGAGCATTACTCTGTATCTAACCCTGTGCTGTCCCTGTCCAGGGAGTGTTTGATGGGGATACTGTCGAGGAACTTTACTCTCTATCTAACCCTGTGCTGTCTGTGTCCTGGGAGTGTTTGATGGGGACAGTAAACAAGGAGGTTAACTCTGTATCTAACCCTTTGCTGTCCCTGTCTTGGGAAGTGTGTGATGGGGGACAGTGCAGAAGGAGCTTCGCTCTATATCTAACCCTTTGCTGTCTCTGCCTTCGGATTGTTTGTTATGGATGGTGTAGAGGAAGCTTAACTCTGTATCTAAGCACTTGTGTACTTGTCCTGAGGTGTTTGATGGGGACAGTGTAGAGAGAACTTTACTCTGTATCTAACCCATTGCTGTCCCTGTCCTGGGAGTGTTTATTGGGATGGTGTAGGAGAAGCTTGATAACAAAACAAATAAAGATCATGCTATTAACATCCTTCCTGACTTCATGTCATCATGAAGTACCTCACAATTAATCAAGTAGTTTTGAATCCCTGTCATTAAAGATATTTCCAGAGGAATATTTTTGGTTTACTGTTTGTGGGTAGGATATGGCATAATGTCACATTCCTGTTTGTGTATAGTGTAGTGTCACACTGTTTGTATGTATTGTATAGTACAGTGTCACACTTTGTTTGTACGTAGTGTAAACTATCGTGTCAGCCTTACTGTTAGTTCAGAGTATATTGTTACTTTGACTAAATGATTACTCATTACCAAACTCCCCATTTGCTTCCATGTGGGACAGAGTGAGAAATGTTTCTTTTATTGGTCTAGCCCACCCTGATGTGCAAGGGTTAGGCTACTGGCTTCCATTGGGTTGATCCGCACACCTGACAAAGTACTGCTGTGACTAACAGTTTCCATCTGCAGGACAGCTGACCAGGTGACTCTGTTACTGATTGCTGTTGCCTGTATTGGAAGGATTTACAGGTTGACAGTCATACAAATTGACCACATTGTAAATGAACCTTCCATGTGCAATAAGTCCAGCTGTGGGACTCGAACCTGGAGTTTCTTGCCCAGAGGTATAAGGACATTACCACCTTTATTGTTAACCCTTGTTACCTTCGAGAATGGAGAGGAACCTGCCTTCGTGGATTGGGACACAGTGCATATTAGATAGAGTGGGAGAGATAGAAGATTAACTACATTGCATTGATCAGATAGGGCCAGAGTAGGGTTTTCAAAATCTACGAATTGTGTATTTATATAGCGCCTTCACAACCGCAGGATGTCCAAAAGTGCCTTTACAGCCAATGATGTTATGTTTTGAAGTGCACTTACAATTATAGTGTGAAAAATGTACAGCAAAGTCCCAAAAAAGCCAGCAATATGATATAGGTAGGGTGATCTGTTTTGGGTTTTGACTATGAGATAAATATTATGGGGGGTGGGGGGGGGGGGGGGGGGGGGAACCCTGCTTTGATCTAGTCTCCCTGAGATGGTGGTAAGTTTAATCTCTCATTGACAAGCAAAAAGAAGGTGAGGGTAGGAGTACCTGTCATCTTTGAAACTGGCGTCAATTTGGTTAGACACAGTGCGGGTATCGGAAGAAAATGTGTGTGTAGAATAACGCATTTAGTGATTGGGAGAAAGAAGAACTGAACAAAGCGGTAAGTGGTATGGTTATTAAATACATTATATACAGCATCTGTCATTATCTATTCTGACCTGGGAATGTTTGCAGGCAACGGTGTAGAGGCGGATTTATTTTGTATCTAACACTGTGCTGTATTGGGAGTCTTTGGTGGGGACAGAGTACAAAGAACAAAGAACAGTACTGAACAGGAACAGGTCCTTCAGCCCCTTGCCTCTAAGTGGTCCATATCTCTCTATTCCCCACCTATTCATGTATATATCAAGATGCCTCTTAAACATTACTATTGTATCTGCTTCCACCACCTTCTCAGGCAGTGCGTTCCAGGCACTTACTACCCTCTGTGTAAAAAACCTGGCTCTCAAATCTCCTTTAAACTTGCCACCTTTAACCTGAAACCTATGCCCCTAGGAGTTGACATTTCGACCCTGGGTAAAAGACTCTGACTATCCATTCTATCCACGCCTGTGATAATTTTGTAAACTTTGTAAACATCCTGTGATGTTCAAGTGCAGTATCTAACCCCATGCTGTCCCTGTCCTGGGAGTGTTTGATGGGGACAGCGTAGAGGGGGCCTTTGGAATGAAAGAAAGACAGAACTTCGATTTAAAAACCGAAAGAACTGCAGATGCTGTAAATCAGGAGTAAAAACAGAAGTTGCTGGAAAAGCTCAGCAGATCTGGCAGCATCTGTGAAGAAAAAATCAGAGTTAACTGTGTGCTGAGGAAGGGTCACCGAACCCGAAACATTAACTCTGATTTTTTCTTCACAGATGCTGCCAGAGCTTAGATTTATTTGTGCAGTATGAATGGTATAATTTTAAAGCAAGTTATCAGCTCCCTCCACAGACATAAAAAATGCAGCTTTACTTAATCAGTTGTCTGCTATAAATAATTTTGAAAGATTTTACATGAAATTTACATATGTCAGGTTGACTGATTAAAAAAACAAAAATTTGCTGGTGAAACTCACCAGGTCTGACAGCATCTGTGGAGAGAGAAACAGAGGCTGTGTTTTAAATTCAGCATGGCCTGTTTGATTTGTGTTGAATTGGCTAATGATAATGTGGATGGACAACCATTTATACTTCATGCATTTACATTGATTTGCAAGTGAGAGGCATCATCGTTTCTGTCTGTATTCTGCAGAAGAAATGACCTGATGATCAGTTTTGAGTCTGTGCTTGAATAGGTCATTGTAGACAGTAATAAGGAGCTTTCTGGTTGCAAAGGTCCCATCACTGACTCGCTCAGGGTGGCTGCAAGTAGGGCCATTAGCACTCACTTCAGCACATTTTGAACAGATGATCATGTGTATTTGGTCGCTCGAATTTGCTCCATCTTTCAACAAAGTCAAGGCTGATGTGGCTGGTGCCTCAACTTAAGTTTTCCAACCTGCCCCCAATAACCATACCCTTCCTTGTTAGTTCAGATACAGAGGGAAGCCTTGGTCAAAGTTAGCTCGTGACAGACCCCAGAGCACTCACTGAAAGGTGCATATGTGTATATGTTGGGTGAAGAGACAATTGGCTTAGTATCATCCCTCTGTAGTCGAATAGCCCACCAGCCTCTCTCACAGACTCACACCAGGAAGAATGATTGCTTGGAATAGATTGTAGAGAGCATCTTGAACTTGTAGAATATCAACAAGAAAGAAAGTTCAGAGGTGGGCTGGAGAGGGCAAAGGGGCTTGTTTGTAAATTGGGAAATATGAGCGGGATATCGGCGGATAATTTACTCTAGGAGCAGAGTGTCTGGCCTTGAACCTAAGAAATCTTTGGCCAGAGCTGATCTTAGCTAGGAGAGTCCTTATGTAATAGCCCCAAGCAGAGCCACAGAGCAGAGAAGATATACATCTTGGCAATGGGCCAGTCAATGAGAGCACAGATGGGATAGACTGAGATGTAATGGTTAGGAGACACTGAGCTTGAATAGTTGCCAGTTTAAGAGTGCACAACAAAGACATTTAATCCCTCCCGAATATTGAATGGCGGGTGAGGGAACTTCAGGCTTGAATTGAGAGTTGTGAAGTTTTCCCATCAATCCAAGCTCTTTGTTTCAATGAGTAAAAACTGAAAGAACTGCGGATGCTGTAAATCAGGAACAAAAACAGAATTTGCTG